TATTGTATGGATGTATGTTCAGCTCCTCAAGGACATTCATGCTTCTATTCAGACGTTTTCTAAACTTCATACTTTTGAAATATTTAGCTTTATTTTGAAAATCTTGCTCCATTCAAATGAATGGGAAAATCCTACTTCAGCATAGTTTCAGCTATCAAAATGTTCAGTTCTTCAAGGACATTCATGCTTCTCTTCAGGATTTTTCCAAACCTTATATCTTTGAAATATTTAGCTTTATTTTGAAAATTTTGCCCCATTCCAACAAATGGGAAAGTTCTACTTCAGCATAATTTCAGCTATTTCAGGTATGAAAATGCTCAGCTCTTCAAGGACATTCATGCTTCTTTTCAGGATTTTTCCAAACCTTATACCTTTGAAATATTTAGGTTTATTTTGAAAATTATGCCCCATTCAAAATAATGGGAAAATTGTACTTCAGCATACTTTCAGGTAGATACGCCTTTCAGGTGTCAAAATATTCAGCATTTTCAGGGCAATCCTTCAGCAGACAGCATCCACATGCATTTTTGACAGGAAATGCATTTCTCTAGTTTTTATTCTGGGATCTTCCACCTTTTTTTTTTGGCACTTTATAAGTCCTTTATAAGTCATACTTTCAGCTATACAGGCCATTGAGGTCTTCATCTCTTCAACTCTTCAGGGACATCCCTGTGTGTACTCAACTTTTTTATAACATTTATACTTTTTAATTGATTCAGCTTTATTTTTTGCAATATAAGTCAATGGGAGCTCAAAGTGCTGAGTCAATGACATAGTCTTGGAGTGCCATCTGGTGGTCCATAAAATGCAGCGCAATTGAGACATGCCCATAGATAACTCCTTTCTCTGTCTCTCTCCCCCTCCCCCTCCCTCTCCCTCTCTCTGTCTCCCCCCCCCCCCCCCCACACGCCTCAACTATTTCAACAACTATTTCTAGCACTTTCATGATGATCTTTCAGCTTTTTTTAGCATCCACACGCATTTACGACAGGAAATGCATTTCTCTAGTTTAGATTGTGTTTTTATGTAGATTGCTTGGATAATGTTACTTCAGAGAACGTATGTGGTTTTTGGCAAAAGAACAAAAGTTATAAAGAGGCATTTATATCATTGCAATTTCCAAGTTGAGACAGTGAGAGAACAAGAAGAGTATTGTATCTTTTTGTTCTATTTTTATAGGCCTTGTTCTCTAAGGCTATGGCTTTTGGGTAACATTCCACGCATGTGCAACACTGAAAAGGCTTTTCCCATGCCCACCTTCTGTGTGGACCCCACATACATCAGCTGTCTATTGTATAAATAGTGTGTACAGTCAGCTTCCATTTTTTCTTCAGCTATGAGCAACATTAAACATTCTTCAAGAGGACATCTAGCTACTCTAGAAACTACATCATGTTTCAACCTACAACATGGCTATTGGCCATAAATTTCGATGAGGTAAAGCATTGCATTAGTACACCAGTCTGGCCCTTACTGCCCAGGCACCATGTGTTGTGCCGGTTTCATGCCCCACCCCCACCCCCCTAGGCAGACAGGACAGTGAATGCCATCACTGTCACAGTAGTGGAGAATGTGCGGCCGGGCCTCGTAAAATAAACTGCTGATGTGGCAGCGGAGATACTTGGCCCCAGTGGTGTGGAGGAATCGGAGTCAGATAATTCGATTACCCATTTGAGGTCCTCCAAGCTGGTTTTTGTCAACCATCCCAACACCCATGAGGGGGAGCTAGAGCTAATGCATGAACCATCTTGATTTATCACTCTGACTCCCCCGTTCGTGGGCCTACTCCTACTGGACCTGCCTTCCATCATGGCGGCATACATTGGCAGTACTGCTGGTGCTGTTGCTCATGACCCAGTAGGGGCTCCTTATTTGTTATTACCCATGGCAGGCACCTCGGTTTGACTCAGTCTTCCCCACCACCCCCCAGAACAACGTTTGGCAGCAATTTCTAAAGTCAAGACAACCCCTCCACTGTGAGATTAATGATGGGTTATACCTGCAGTCCCACCTTAGAGGGCGGAGCCTATATAAAATAGAACATTGGTTGCACATTGTAACCACAGATTACTGTAAATGCACCATTCCCTGATCTTTTTCTACCAACACAAACTGTGAAAACATGTTACAACTGAAACCCTTTTCAGACACGCACTGGATGCCTACAATTCTCCAGAGATTACCCAGGGCATCCTTATGTGAGAACACAAATGTCTGAGTCAGTAAACCAGGACCTTAAGTGGAAATGCACGGCCTGAGGCAAGAAGACAAACTATTACTTCACAGTTTAGGATTAGGACAGTGGATCTTTCATACTCTGCCAATTACTGGTAATAATTTAGCATCAGCTTTTGCTGTATGTAATTCTGGAGTGCCATACATTCATGAAGAGTTCAGGGAACACAGGAATTAACATATAGTGCGATACATTGCTGCATTAAGGGAACTACTGCAACTGCAATAGGTGAATTCTCCAGTACAGATGATATGACCTGGGACCAGCATGGGCCACGTGTTGCTAAAAGCTACCCTGACATTAGCTGAAGCTTTTACCATAACTACGCAAGTTGAATCAGTTTACCAACAAGATGAGTCTATGGCAGAATCAGTTTACCAACAAGATGAGTCCTTGGCAGGTGACCATCACTTTCCTGTACAAGTTGTCCAGACTCAGAATACAGTTGAAAACAGACAGGTCAAGACCCCTTTGAAAACAGTGGTTGCTTGATCTGCACGTACCTGTTACCACTGTAGTTCAGAAAAGCGCCTTCCCAGTTCCCATGTTTATACAGATGCAAAAGCAATCTGCAAAAGTTGCAGGAAAAAAGGACATTTTTCCTGTGTGTGCCAGTCCCACCACACCCAGTCAGTGAATGAGGTTGAAATGCCTGAATACACACTTCCATTAGTGGAAGGAACAGATATTCCTGATAAAATACAGTGCACTGTGGGCATTCCAGCTGTGACAGTAGTAAAGACAGTGAGACTAACTGTGGACAGTAGTGCTTCATTTTCTGCTCTGCCCAAATGTTTCTACAAGGAGCACTTCAGGGAAGCTCCTCTCCAGTCTTCAGTCAAGCTGGTGGCATGTTCACAGGTTCCTCTTACTGTACTAGGCTGCATGAAAGCAACTGTTCACATGGATGGCATTACAGGCCCAGCCAATGTCTACGTCCTGGACTAAGGAACAGCACTTATGGGACAGGGCTTGCTATGTACTCTCCAGCTGCGTATTGAAGGTAACACTGTGTACCACCTGTATCAGTTTCTTATCCCTGCTCTGCAGCATCAGTAGGATATCTTGCCACAATATACTGCCTTTCTTTCTGCCAACTGCTTCCCCCCTCTCTGTGGACATGGTACCAGAATTATTAGCTTTGCTGTCAACTTCACCTGTCTCTGTGACTGCCAGTGAATTTTAAGAAGCTTCATCCTCCTGCACAGAGTTTGCTTCTCTGCAGATGCATCAGCTGCAGCCACTTTCTATATAAGCCATGCCACCACTACTGAGACCTTATTTCAAGATAAGACATTCAAGATTCAAGATTTTTATTTGCCATTTATGCATAAACTGGCAGTCTAGGCATATAGGAATTTTTGTGCAGCTTGCCTTTGGAGTCAGGTAAGGAGTCAAAAACCAGAAAGGACATTTAGTAAAAAGGTTACATAAGGGCGACAAAGTATTAAAACACAATACACAAAAATAGGGTAATAGTATTTTCCACAGTGAACTTCAAACATCACACTTAGTAATTCAGATAGTAACATGTAATATGTTTCTACTGAAATATTACACACTTTATCGCTTACACAGTGACTGTTAAGATAGGGATAAGCTCCGCATCCTCCTTGGCCAAGCCTTAAGTGTTGTGTGTTATGGTCTGAAAGGAGTACATTTATTGCTGCAGAATGTTACACAATACTGTTTTATTGCAGGAAGAGCAATCTTTAAGTAAGCAGGGATGTTGTGTCCAGTGTATCTTTCTGTTCTGCACTGTACCAGTGGTCACGATGTGGGCTCACGTGCGAGCAGCTGGCGGGATGAACCGTGTTATGGGTAGTTACATTATGGCAGTATGTTGCTGCATATCTGCTGTGAGCGCTAGTTCCACAGTAAATTAGAATATTAAACCATCCTTTGATTCCTGACTCTTGTGACCCCCACAACCACTATAAAGAGGGCTTTGTGTATGCACTGATGATGAGGTCACTGATGTAAATGAGGGGCTCAAGGTGAAAGTTTCCTACTAAAACCAAAGCGAGGCTGAAAATAAATACACACTATTCAATCAAGAGAAAACATTTTATTTGAAACCTTTCTCAGATAATTTGACACAACACTTGTGGTAATTACATTTGTAACACTCTGCTCATACATTTTGAAACTATTTTAAAACACATTTAAATCAAACTCTGAAGTTAGTGTAGAACAAGACAGATGCAAAGGTGAATATTAGCCTGCACAATTACAGCCAGGCTATTTGTACTGTTAGAGGAGAAGGTTGCTAAATGCAGGGGAATCTTATTGTTTTGGGAGAGGAAGGAGCAATTTGATTTAGGTATTGTATTTTATTTCTTGCCTTCTTCATACTGTAAGAAATGTATGTTACAAGATAGTTTAGTCAAAACCATGCCTTTAGTGTGCACCATGGATAAAAACTGAACAAAGCCATGAGCAGTTTTGAGAAACAGTAGGTGAGTGTTAGGGATTTAATAATCTCTCTCTAAAAAGGACACCATCCAGAAGTCGCCTGCCTTCAGCACTACAACAGAACAATGAAAAAGTTAAATATACATGTAAGTTAACCCATAATATAATGAATGTTTCACACAAGATGTTTTACAAAGGGGTGAAGTCAAGATATTGTGATGCTGAACCCCCAAAGCAGCCAAATAGCTCCTGCCTGTGCCCTGTTCCCATTGTCAACGATTGAGGTAAAAACTAATAATAATGTTTATTCAATACATCTTGGTAAA